GAAAATATATAGTTCTACTGTTCTAAACTAGTTTGTTAAGATCAGAATATTTTTCACTTGTTTGGGTAAGTATTTTGCCAATTGCAGTTCAGTAGCATGTACAAATCTCTCTTGAAGATTCGATTAATTCATATTATTTGAGTATCTTTAGCTTTGGGATGGTCTCTTTGGAATCTTCTGAGAATGTCAGCAGAGAAAGCAGCGTTCATTCCTTTGTATTATTTGACAGCCTGCCCCCACCCCTACCCCAAGTTTGGATGAAGACAGTGAGCTCTGGAAAACATTAATTCATGGGATTTGTTCATGACATATAAAACTTTCAGAAATAATTTGCTTTATAAAAATGATTTCCTGACTGATTCTGACAAGTTAAAAAATGAGAGCAAGAGGACTTGGTAGCACTAAATTTCCTGACAAAAGTTTATTTAGCAAGGAAGAACAATTTCTTGTGTGAAGAGGGGGGATTCAGGTTTATTTTGAACCTGTATGAAGCAGAGGGGTGCAGATTGTTCCCAATTTAAAATCATTTAAGCTCAAAAGGGCCATTTCAAATACTCTAGCCTCAGAATAAGACATACATGTTCTAAGAGCCAATATAGAGCTTAAGAGTATATTTAACTGTAGGTTTTACTGGTTTATTCCTGTTTTCTTTTCTGTTAAAATGTCAGTATTATATATGTTGTTATTTATGCAAGAATGCAATAACAGCACTTTTTTTCAGCCACAATTCATAAGACAGATATATAAGTCTGGCCAAAAATATCACAAACTTGCTATTTGCTGGACTTTTTTCCTCCAAAGAAGGCAGGTTTAAAGGGGAAAAAACTGCTGCTTGACTTTGCTTCCATTGTTTCTTACGGGATTATTAAAAATATGTGTTTTTTAATCTTTTGAAGAACATCCCCTTGGACAATTTTTTCTGCAAGGTTGGTAGTAAGAAGTGTTAGCCCGGATTTCTGCTACACATAGAGCTCTTCTCCACGGTTTTAGTGATGTGCTTTCCTCTTGTCCTCAAGACAGGAGGAAGGTATGCCACATCAAAAACTACTGCCCCCATAGTGTTCCCCATGCCATGCCTCTGAAAGGAAGCTGGCAGAGGTACAGCTGTTTGCAGTTGCTGCTGTCATAGGAGTGAGATGCAAAGAAGAGGAAGCAGATTCTTCCGTTCTGCTGCTTGCGTCTCTCCCCACTGATCAGGCATGGATCCTCTGCCTTCTCTGCTTCTCTCCCCTTTGCTCCCCTTTCCCTTATCTCTGCCATTGCCGAAGAGTACTGCATCCAGCACCAACTGCAGAAGCAGGGCGCTGCCACACCTGCAAGCACAGATCATTAGTGGTGGTTAGCGGTGACTGCTGCTGTCAGGGGCAGTGTTAGCACTCTGGGGCAAATGCAGAGGTAAGGGGGAGAAGCAGAGAAGACAGAGAATCCACACTTGGGGCGGGGGAGAGAGGCAGGTAGGTAGGAGAGGAATGAGGTGGAGATGGCAAGGGAGGTTACCAGTGAAAAGATCACATAGTAGGATGTAGCAGCTGGTTGTGAGGAGGTTACCACTGGGAATGATAAATTTATGGAAGATGCTCCATGACGTCAATATTTCCCTAATCCTGGGGATGCGGGGAAAGATCTGGCATCTGGGTAGGTTATGGTCTCTCTGACAGCCAAAAGAGAAATCTCCACACAGGCACAGAACTTTGTGGCCGGATAGAAGAAGCAGTTCCACAATGGGCCAGCTGAACTCCTGCAGGTCACAAGCCTCCTTCCAGCTCCTTCTCCATGCAGTTTAGAATATTTGTAATTTCTATTTTCCCATGGAAATCTTTTATTTTTTTATCAGATCACTTTGATATGACTTCAGTCTGCCACAGTGGCAAGAAGGAGGCTCCATTGTGGGGGCATTTAAGCACATTGTTCAGGTTTGTGGATAAGCTGATAATTTTGTGGATTTGAGATTAAAAACAAAAGAGTAAGGGGTTGATCCAAGATTCCTAATGGAGCAAAATTTGAAATGTTTAGAATATTTCAGTCATAAAATTTTTCAGGTTTTGTCCCATTAGATCAAAGTCAACTTGCAGTATTTTGATTACTTATTATTAGTATTTTGATTACTTATTATTAGTATTTTGATTACTTA